GCATACATTCCTCGAGACCAAAGTATATGTATCTTCCACCTGAAATCTTAGTCACTGGCGTTTGACGAGGAGGGCCTTATAGCGTTCTAGGATCTTGAGGAACATCCAGCTTAAACTCCTTGAGTACTTCCAGTAAATAAGAAACCTTTTCCAAAGACAGTTCACACTTAATTGCGATTTGTCTGGCTATGGCACGTACGGTAACATAGTCATCTTCATCACAATCATTTTTTTTTACTTCAATGAGGATCCGGCTAAACGATCGACTAGGAGCACATACAGCAACAAAAGTACCTTCAACTTCGGCTACACCTTTTAAAATTGAATCAGCGGTACTATTCGAGAGAGACATATCAGCCATGTCTGAAAATAAGGGCGCAAGTTAACGGACAGCACCCCATAGAGGGCAATTTAAGCAACCAAAATGTACTGCTCATAAGTAGTATAACGATTAGCATAACCACGGAACACGTGTACCGTCAATGTCGCACCCCTGAGAAGTCGCATTTTCCAACAGCTTCCTTTTTTTCGAAAATTCCAACCAACCGTATGTTTAATAACGTAGTTTCTGACTATGAGATGCCGCAACCCTCAGTATGTCGCAGTCTCTTGGTCGTTGACCGATGTTCGGGACGACCATTGACCATCCACCCTGAAATATCGCACTCAACCAATGGCGTTGCACTTAGCGTGTATATTGAAAAAATATATATTCAATGAATAATTGATGACTATTTACAAGGATTAACAAGGATAAAGTTAGTTAATATGTCCTAAATAAGTTTTAGTGTCGTTTGTAAAAGTTTGTATGCAGAAATTAAACCACTTCCTGTACTCGATCTTGTTCAGATGTTCCCAGATGACAACTGCGACAGATACGGTAACATTCTACAAACGGCGCTTGAGTCAACTTCACAGCGCTTAACGTTATTGGTGTGAACACCGATTGCCGGATTCACAAAATCATCACTGTGGTCAACACGCATATTTATAAATCCCTATCATCATCATCATTGTAATACAGTGGCGCGAAATTCACTGATCTCTGCCAAACTCATATTGCATACAGGGTAAGTAACAGTTTGTAAGGACTACAGCGATTGCACCTATTCTTAGGGACGGTAAAATAAACTGAACCTCTATGGTCAGCACACAGAATAAACAGTCTAGCTGTGCTCACATACTATTTCAAGCATTCTGGTCTGATAAGAGGTGACAGCGTGATCGCCATTGCTGTTGGTTCGCGGCCATGATCTTCATTGTCTCCAACCATGCGTTTTTGGAGTCTTTTGGAGCCCAACCCAGAAGCCGAGAGACACCTACTCTACCTAATCCCTTTGTGCATTTCTTCATGCCTTGTCTCCATGTTATCTGCTGGCCTCCGCGTGGCTTTCTCCAGCCTGCAACAGCCACTGCGAATAATTCGCGTTGCGTTTAACGACCGTTGGACATAAGCAAAACCTGT